CTCTCGAAGGATTTCTAGGACAAAACAACAGCGCTTTCTCCCGCGACTCGCCCCCAAACTGGGCACACAGAGAGTTGGGGTCGGTCCGGCGAGCCAGCTCTGGGTCAGACGGGCCGATAGCGTCCAGCCAGATGGTCCGGGCGAAGGTCCCGCGGAGAGACAGCGCCAGCACGGGCCCCACGTTGTTGAGCATGTCCAGGGCAGAGCATTGTGGGATGTCTGCATTCTGTGACTTGAGCAGGTCGGGGCTCGGGTACAGAAGACGCACACCGGACAGGTCAAGTCCTTCCTGTAAGGGGGTAAAAAATCATGTGAGGGTTATTCCGGGGTGAAAAAATGGTGAAATGGTACAGGTTTAGCCCCTCTATCAACACTATTAGGTTATTTAAGAGGCGGGATCTCCGAGTTTAACATCCATCTCCGAAATGACCGAGCCAAATGGGAAATTCGTGTTAAAGTGTTTTCCAAAGGACACAATATAACGTTGGACCGAGCTGAGGCTCGAACTGCCGAACCCACAATCTCACGATTACTGGTCCGGTAGCCTTACCGCTGGGCCACCGACACCATTCCTATTCCAGGGTAACTGACAAGACATTTGGACAATACTTTCTTACAATGATAACACTGTAATTCAATATCAAATAATTTATTTCAACTTTAAATGATCAGAACTTTGAAAGACATATTAAGAATCATATCAAGTGCAGTCGTTTGAAAAAAGTAGTACTTTATGCAAATTCTGCGACGTGTTAAGTTTCGGTAACTGACGAGACAGGAAAAGTACTTCATTTGTCCCATCAGTTACCACGGAATAGCCCCAAATGCACTTTAGATAGGGCTTTCAGCTCGAACATTGCAGGTTCTTTCTTTCTTCTTTTGCATTCCCCTATTGGACTGTGCAACTAATTTTTACATACATGACCGTTTTTCCTACTTCGTAGCCACATTCTGATTTCAAAGACACTCTATATTATGTTTTTAGACTGACTAGAGTATTTTCAGTTTTGGTACGAATTCATTCTAAATTCAGATGTCTGTCCTATTTATAGACTTAAATCCAACTGCCGATCTGTCCTATTTATAGACGTAAATCTAAACAACCGCTGATCTGTCCTATTTATAGACGTAAATCGAAACAACTGCCGATCAGCTGACCTGTGAGACTCTGTTGAGAATGGCCATGAGCGAGACGGGGTCCTGGAAGATTTTCTTGTAGACGAGCGACATGGTGTTCTGCGTCTCGTAGCTGACCCCGTCGTCGTGGCACTCAAGGTCGCAGCACGTCTCCTCGTTGTCCACCGTCTGCCACAGGAAGCCCACGGGGATGTTGAAGATCTTACGGGCGGCCTGGGGGTCAGGGTTCACCTGAGGGGGACGGCAATATGTGAAAACAATTGGTCATTGTAAGTGTTCTTACGCCTCCCTCTACACAATTTAGATCATTTAGGAAGCAGGCTGCTTACCCCAGCCTGTCAGGGCATCAGGGCCTCTCTGGGCTGAGTGAGACACAACAACATCCCAGCAGACAAGTGGACTTTTTTGATTTTATAACTCTTTCCCCCTTGATATTTGAACTCACATCTTCTGAGTGCAATAGTAAACAGCATAACCGCT